CAGAACTGGGGAGCTATGACTGGACAACCAAGGCTTAGCCTTGTACAATTACTGGAAGAAGAACAACTACAGACAAGACACAAGTATACTGTGTTTGAAAATCATGCCATTAAGGCCTGCTACTTAATATACTTGCTATAAATTAGAACCAACGAAGTAGGCTACTGACTCAAAATATTACTGAACAATGATTAGCAGATCAAAGGAGATTCATTTTCAGAAATAAAATATTCAGGGATGTAGAACTGGAAGAGATTCAGGAAAAAAAATGTGAAAATGGAAGATCCAAAACAGAATTACAGAATAACCAAGTTGGAAAGGACCTTGGAAGTCTTCTAGTCCAATCCACTGCTTAAATAGATGACCCTATACAATTCCAGACAAATGGCTCTCCAATCTCTACTTAAAAGCTTCCAGTAATGGAAGGACTGGAGGACTACAGACTACAGGATCCAAGACAGAACCTTGAGAGCACTGCGTGCTTCCCTCCATAATTCCATTGAGGGCTGCATGCTCAGTGTGATTGGTCAGCCAGTTGTGATTCCATCTGGTGATGATGCTGTGTATCCCACAGTTTTCTATCTTATCAAGAAGTAGGCTGTGGTCTACTTTGTCAAGTAGAAGTCTTATGGAAGCCCAAGCATACTATGTCCACAGCATTTCACTCGTTCACTAATTTCATTACTTTATCAAAGAAGACAATAAAGTTTGTCTGGCATGATCTGTTTTTACAAACCCATGCTGGCTTTGTGGTCAATTTGCTCATTTCTAGATACTCACACATCTGCTGCTTGATTATCTTTTCCATGATTTTCCCAGGCATTAACAGATTAACAGAGTTGGAAGTCCCCTAATCAACCTGGTTGCTCTCCTCTGCACTTTTTCTAGAGTCTCAACATCTTTTTATAGTATGGTGACCAAAACTGGATGCAGTATTCTAGGTGTGGTCTTACTAAGGCTTTATAGAGTGGTATTAGTACCTCACTTGATCTGGATTGGATTGGATTGGAGTTTCCTGAATACATTCTCCCCGCCTTTGAAGATTGGAATCTTTTCCAATCCTCCTGTACTATAGGACCTTTGAAACATTACATTCAGTACTCCAAGATCATCTGGCTCAGGTGATTTGTACTTGCCCCGGGTGGAGAGGTGTTCTCTTACCAATTCCTTGCCTATTTTGACTTGCATTCCTGTTCTGATCCCACAGTGCTGCTTTTGATAGATTGGACTACTTTTTCCTTGTGTGTGAAGACAGATGCAAAGTGCAGATTTTGTAAAGAGACAGAAGAAACAGTAGATTATATACTCAGCTCATACAAGAAAATCACACAAATTGACTATAAACAATGAGATTAGAATCAGAACAGAGCTGAAAGGGACCATGGAAGTCTGTCCAGTCTCTTCTTAAAACCTCCAGTGATGAAGGACCCACAACATCTGAAGGCAAGCTGTTTGACTGGTTAATTGTCCTCACTGTTAGGAGGTTTCTCTTTAATTCCAAGTTGCTTCTCTCCTTGATTAGTTTCCATCCATTGTTTCTTGTCCTGCTCCCTGGTGCTTTGGAAAATAAATTGACCACCTCCTCTTTGTGGCAGCCTCTCAAATACTGGAATACTGCTATCACTGTTTTAGAGCCAGGTTTCGCTTAATCTGTACTTGTACCTTTGGTTTTTCCTGCCCAAATGTAAAACCTTGGTTTTTTTCCACATTAAATTTCATTTTGTTGGATAGGGCCCATTGTTCCAGGCTATCAAGATCTGTTTGGACCCTGAGTTTGCCTTCTGGGGTGTTGGCTATTGCTGCCAGTTTAATATCCTCTGCAAATGTGATGAGTTCCCCTTCTATTCCCTCATTTAAATCATTTATGAAGATATTGAAGAGTACTGGGCCTAAGAAAGAACCTTGTGGAACCCCACTGCTTACTTCCCTCCATGTAGATGTAGTACTACAGTATTAAGCACTACTTGTTGAGTATGGTTTGTCAGCCAGTTACAAATCCATCTGGTGGTGATGCTGTTTATTCCACATTTTTCTAGCTTACCAAGAAGTAGATTGTAGTTTACTTTGTCAGATGCCTTGCTGAGATCTAAGTATACTATGTCTACAGCAATTCGCTGGTCTACTAATTTAGTGACTTTGTCAAAGAATGTAATCAGATTGGTTTGGCATGATCTGTTTTTAACAAACCCATGCTGGCTTCTAGTTAACTTTGTTTCTAGATGTTCACAGATCTGTTTTTTAAAATTATTTTTTCCAGTATCTTCCTGGGTATTGATGTTAGGTTGCTTGGTCTGTAGTTTCCTGGGTCTGTTGTTTTCCACTTTTTTGAAGATGGGAACCACATCAAATCTTTTCCAATCCTCTGGTAGTTCTCCAGTGTTCCAGGATTTTTTGAAAGATGTGGTACAATGGTTCTGAGATATTATCTGTCAGCTCCTTCAGAACTCTGAGTGTAATCCATCAGATCCCAGTGATTTATATTTATCAAGGACAGACAGGTGTTCTCTTACCATTTTCTTGCTTATTTTAATTTTTATTTCTAATCTGTCTTTTACAGTTATGTTTTTGGTAGGTTGGGCTATAGTTTCTTTTTGTGTGAAGACTGATGCAAAGAATGAGTTAAGCAGCTCTGCTTTCTCTCTACTGCCTGTTACTTCCTTGCCATCTTCTCTCTTTAGTAGACTGACTGTTTCCTTGACATTTTTCTTGTTATTTACATGTTGAAAGAAACATTTTAAAAATTATCTTTAACTTTTGTTGCAAGTCTTTGTTGATTCATCCTTTGCTTTTCTGACTTCACCTTCACCTTTGCAGATTCAGGCTATCTATTGATATTATGGCTTAGTTATGTGTCCCTCTTTCCATTTTTTTGTACTTATCCTTTTTGTCTTTCAATTTATCAGAGAGATCTTTGTGCAACCATGTTGGTCTTATCTTAGATTTCTTGTTTGTTTTTTTTTAGTGGTATTGTGCTGGACTGGGCTTTTATGATAATATTTTTCAGTGTTTCAGAAGTTTCAATGCTTCTTGAGTTGTTTTCCCCTTTAAGATTTTTATCCATGAAATTTTGCTTAGGCTCTCTCTGAGCTTGTTAAAATCAGCTCTTTTAAAGTTTAAGACACTGGTTGGATTATATTCTATTGCTTATGTTTGCATTATATTGAATTCTAGTATGATGTGGTCACTCTCACCCAAAGTTCCAGCAACTTCATTTCTTCTCTATTAGTAAGAATTAGGTTCAGTATAGTTCTTTTTCTAGTTCCCTCCTCTACCTTTTGGATGACAAAGTTATCAGATAAGTTGGTTAGGAATCTGTTCTGTCTTCCACTTGCTGCAGAATTTGTCTCCCAGTTGATATCAGGGTTGTTAAAGTCTCCCATCACTACTGTGGTATGTTTCCTACATACATTTGTTAATTGATTAGCAAAGAGTTCGTCTATTTCTTTTGCTTGGTTGGATGGCCTGTAGTATACGCCTATAGCAATGTCATTTTTTCTCCCTTTTATATTGACCCATATGGATTCTAGGATTCTAAAACTCTAGCTAGTTTTACTGTCAAACTAACTGTCAGGATGACAATTCTATGAAAACCTGCGACCCAAATTTTAACACTTTAGTAATCCTCAAAGGGTTATATCAGTATTTCCTTGAGAAGCCTTTTCTGGCTACTGGATCATTCAGTACTGCTCTCCATCCATCCTTGAGTTGGCAGAAAACTATAAAACTATACCAAGAGGAAATTTGTTGTCCTCCTTGCCAATCCTATCTTGCCTCTACTGTTTGTTTCAAGTGACTGCAATTGCCTGTCTTCTGCTCAAGGTAATAAGTAACATAATCTAACAGCCTTGAGGCTATCCTTGTATAGTTGGAATAAAGAGAAAATATTCATAAAACATGGGTGGAGCTAAGGATGACATAAACTTGTGTCATTCAAACTAAAATGAAATGAAGACAATGGCAGACAAAAGATGTTGCCGAAAAATGTTTGTACCATGATTAGGTGCAAGTGTGAACATAGCCTCTGTCTTGATGCACAAGTGCTTTGAGGAAATTGGTATCTTCGACTCTCCTCATATTATTTTACTGCTCAGTGCCTTGCTCAATATGAATAATCTAAAATTGTATCACAGTCTGTTCTCAGAGACCCTGGATTTTACAGTATCTTATATCAAAGTCAAAGAGAGTTTGCTCTTCTCCCTAATTCTCTCTCTTTCTCTCAAGAGTGAAAAGGAAAGCGCAACAGCAGTACCTTAAGCATTCTAGCTTACCCTCTATCTGCCTGCTGCTCCCAGAGGGGCCTGCTGATTATCAACCTTTGAACAAAGCAATTTCACAGGGAAATGGGGAATATTGCACATAGGGGCCTCATTTGAGAAGTAATGATGGGCATCCATTTTCTTACCTTTGTGGCTTGTTTAGTTCAGTTGCAAATAAGGCCCTGTAATATATAATATTTTGATTTCTAGACTTGCAGCACTGATGTCCCAAGAAGTGAAGAAAGCCTGATGGCTCAATTGGCAATGATTATAGAGGGGAAATCATACTATATTGACTTTTAATCCTACAATAGTTTTATTCAGAATGGCATTTATTATCTAGATTATGATTAGGCCTGGGCATGTCAGCCTTTTCAAACAGGTTTGGCACCTAAACTTGGCACCTTGTAGAACAGATTGTTCTATAAATTGAGCAGCGATTTCAGGGATGTCTCCTTTCATATCTTTAATAAAGTTCACAATTTTTATCTGATGGGGCAATAGTAAGACATGGATTTATTCTGCCTCCAGAATCTCTTTCTTTCTCATAAGAAACAACATTCCCCCAATCCCACCCAATGTGCACTGACTGATGTGCACATGGCTCTGTTATGAGTAAATCCTCAATAAACTAAAAGCCTATTCAATGGAGAAACTGCAGCGCTTTCCTGTCAAATCAAGTTTGGCTAGTAGATTCAAATAAAAACAATAAAGAAAGCAACAAAGAAAGATATTTTTACTTACCAAGTCATCCTTAGAAGTTGCAGATCCTTTCTCTTCTTCCCTTAACTCTGGGTACAAACTGAACCTGAGATGTTTTGCTAGGTCCTTATGAGGAGTTTTCAGCAAAGGTTCCAATTTATCCTGCAGAATTTTAAAGTTTGGAACATTATAAATGTACTGTCTATGTTGGGCAATGTTCATATCAAGACACAAAGCAGATGACATTGGAATTATTATCTTGAAAGTTTTCATCCTTCTGACAGTAACCTTTAACAAGGTTAAAGTGCTCATTTTAATAGAGCTCATATGTGTGTGTCTTTGAAAACAAAAGGCAAAATGTCTTTGGAAATATACAGAGAAATATCCTACAGCTGCTGCTGCTGTGGGAATATGCTGTCATTCTCAGGAAATGTAGACACTAAAGAAAGAAAAGGATACCTAAAAGACACTTAAGGCTCAATGTCTTTAGAAGAGAGATTTGTTTTTCCAGAGACAATCAGTGTGGTTGTACTTTATATGTAGTGTCAAACTTTACCACGCAGAAAGGAATAAGCTACTTACTAAGCTCACAAGAAATCCAAGAACTTCAAATACTTAAGCAGCATTTGAAGAAAGTTAGAAGCCATACCAAAGAACTCCACCAACTGTTGTGATTCAAGAACAAGCCTGGCATATGGGAACACTACCCAAACTCTCTATTTAGATTTCCAATCTGCCCTTCATAACAGAGCCTCTATTTGCAATGGTGGCCTTTATATCCATCTAACATTTTTGTTACACTGCCAGATTTGCTATCATGTTGTTTCCCACTTACTGTGTAGGAAGTTTGGAGGGTCCTTCAGGATTGCAGGAGGGTATAAACTTGGTAAAAAAAAATTCTCATGTAACTTAACATATAATTGTTTGCTTCCTTTCTCAAAAGTGTATATAATGATTGAGGAATTCTGATCCTTCCTTTCTCACTTTTGGGTTCCATCGACCCCTCCCCATCCAACTAAGTTCAGGGTTGAATTGTTGGGTTAGAATCATAGGGCTGGAAGGGACTTTGGAGGCCTGCTAGTTCAACCCCCTGCCCAAAGAAAGGGACTTCCCTTAACTGTACATTGTACGAGTTAGCCACTAGAACCCTTATCATCTTTGTTCTTCGTGTTCTCTGAGATTGGATGCTTTCTTGCAGACCTTTCATTATCTAGCTAGGTAATATCATCAATGCAAGCTAGAGTGGGCTCTTTATTTATAATAGATTGCCTAATGTGGGGATACCGTTACCACCTGGATGATTCCTTGATCAGGGAAGGGCTTCTTCCCTATTTATCTGGTGCTGTTTCATGTTGACCTGGGTGTGAACAACAGAAGGGGATATGTTCTAGGCCAGGGGTCAGCAACCTAAACACCCAAAGAGCTACAAAGGTCCTAACTGGAAGCCCCCGTTCAATTCTGGAGCTGACTGGAAGTCCAGTTCCCACATCATAGTCTCCTCCTAGCACAGTGTCTTTTTTCCTCTGTTGACCAGAAGTCGGTTCCCCCACCATAGAGTCGCCTCCTAGCGCGGCATCCTTTTTCCTCTACCTGTCCTAACCAAAAGCCCTATCAATTGTGGAGCCGACCAGCAACAAGGAGCCACAGCAGAGGGATGAAAGAGCCACATGCGGCTTCAGAGCTGTGAGTTGCTGACCCCTGTTCTAGGCCTCTGGTTTCCTTCCTAAGTTTTTGATTGTCTTTTTTTTTTTTTTTGAATGGTGGTCAAATGGGGCTTATTTTTCTATGTCTGTTGGTAGTTGATTTGTCTTGGCATTCAGATCTTTAACGCCTCTGAAAGTTGCTTTTACCTTTCCATCACCCCTTTTGTTCTCCTAGCATGAGAAAGCCTTGAACTGTATTAATTCCCTTTATCTCTGAAATTCAGAAAAATGGAGTGGTATCATTTCCTAGTTAAGTAGCAGCATCCATCGGGGATGTGAAGATCAATGGGAATCCAATCTATATTAAGCTCCATGTTAGACATATTATCTAGTTATTCAATAAACTTTTAAAAATTTCTGGAAAATCCCCAGCAGCTGCTATACAGATTTTATATATATGTTTAGAGAATGTACTTTTCTATGCAACTTACATGATTACCTGTGATACATATTTTCCAACAAACTAATGCCTAACAGATGATTTTACTCATATCTTAAGTCTCACATTATTTATGTATTGAGACTCTTTGGCATAAGAAACCGTGCACACATCTTTTAAATAAACCTTAAATAAAACAATTTAATTCTAGCCTGCACTGAAATATAATTCCAAAATATATTTATAATTCTACAATTTTTTCAAATAAGGATGTGGATGGTAGCAGATTCCATTCATTGTTCTATTCATCACTATAAAATCCAATATGCACAAACACACATATATATCAGAACAACAGCTGAAGGATATGTAGAGACAGAAATGTGGGAAACCACATCAACAAGCCAATGTGATTTAGGTGGACTATGCTGGTGGGAGAGGAAGAAATGGAGACAGTGAGTGTGTAGCATAGAAAATCCTGCACAAGGTGTGGCTGGTTGACTGGAACCCAAACACTCCCCTTCTGATAATTTGCTGGAAGTTCCATTATGACTGAAATTTATAAGCAGCATAAAATGATAGCCTGGCTAAGAATCTGGTCTTAGCTAGGTAGTCCTCATAATTCAAAAAAATATATATTTTGAAATTTCAAAGGATAAGCTAATGTGGTATCTTGGCCTAATGTATTTGTTTATAAACTTTTTAGAAGCCCCAGACAAAATAGAGGAATCTATTTTGTTGTATGAATTCTGTATGGGAGGCTGAACTGAGAGACAATGTCTGATCTCAAACCAACCAGTCAGTTCTGTGCTTTAGTACCAATCTGAACCTGGGTCCCACTCCAGTACCTTTAACCATACCACCACACTGATCCTCTAGTTTATATAAAGTTTTAGTTTCTTTGGGAGCTGTAATCCTTGTATATATTTTCTCTCTCTTGTTGTTCTGACCTAGGCTCCCTGAGAAAGCTTAAATCACACACTTAGTTCCCCAAAAAACTCACTAACAGTCTGTGAAGAGTCTGACAGATGTCTGCCACAGGCTTTCAAGGTAATGCTGATAAGCACCCATCTTTATCTCCCTTGAAATGCTGCCAGAGACCTAATTGCCAATTAATTTTGCAAGGCCAAATGGAGCAAAGAGTCAAACAGAGCTTCTCAGAGTTTGAACTGACCAGAATGAACAAATTGCTTCCGTCTGTTTGCTCCTCTCTTATGTCTTATGGGAGGGGCCAATCATCTCCAAGCCTTACTCCTGAGTCCTCCCTTTTGTTTTAACTGTTCTTGGCTCCTGGCAGCTCTGCACATGCGTGCAGTGAGAACAGGCTCTCCCTGTTCTTCTGCCTCGCTGATGTCAGATTCCGGAGGCTCTGGAGGCAGCACACAACTACCAGATGGCCCTGGCCCCCTCTCTGCCTCCAATGCAGAGCCCTCGTTCAAGCCTTCCCCAGACTCCAGGACTGGCCCAACCTCCTCGCTGTCTGAATCTGCTGCCAGCTCTGCTGGCCACTGGTGGACGACAACACTTGTTCACACAGACATGTATAAACACAAGTACATGTTTTCCAAAAATTCTCTTAATAACAAACTGTAAATGACAAATATTTGGTTCTTGGATGGTAAGAATACAATATTTCAGTTCAGAAGTTACCAATACATCTGGCTTGTGTAGTGCTCCTGTCCTGCATAAGTGCAAGACATTGCAGATAATATGCAAATATGTAAAAGACACAAAGGGAGTGTGTTACTCTTGTGACATATTCATTGCTGTCTATCATGAAACATCTTTCAGATTATGGAAAATGGCAGGGAATTACTGCAGCATGCTTAAGTACCTTCCAATGAAATCAATGGGAAGATTTTATTTACCCACAGTAGATATAGTGCATTTCACAACCATGGAGGGAAAGAATGCTTATTTCCCTATCCAAATGGAGATTGCTCTCTGAGGGTTTAATTGCTCGTTGCTCATTTTTACTATTTTTTGTTCTCTTATAACTTGAGGGAGATTCATTCAACTCTACAAATCCCAACACAACCAGGAATTAATAAGTCATTATACTGCTTGTTTTATTACCTACTTGCTTTGGACTATGAAAGAAAAGAAAATGCCTTAAAACCTATGGCAATCCACAAGGCAAGAGTGGTTATAAATCACCTCTCACTACCAGTCCCTCTTCTTCTACTGCAGGTATTCCTCACCAATTCCCATCTTATTTTAATTGCAGCTCATTTTGATTAAAGAGAAGTAGTGCTATGTGTACCCGACTTCACATGCTTTTATTTATCAAATTTATCTTATTTATCAAGTTTCAAATGAAGATAACTTACACATTATTTTTTCACAATAATCTCTGTGTAGGTAGATACACAGATATCTACAAGTTTGGGACAAAATCTGAAAAGCTGGTGAAATATCATGATTCCACTCTTTTATATGTGGTTTGGCAACACATAAATATACAAAAGAGATTTTTGTATCATACAGTTTTTTACACATTATACTTCCACTTCTCCACTGATTCCAACACAGCTTGAAATCAGCTGATTTCAATAAACTGGTAATTTATATAGAAAGCATGCACTGAAACATGGGCTTTCCCTCCGAAGATGGCCTTGTCCAATACATGGATTAGCTGGAGATGACTGTTTTCAGCAAGCCATTGATGATCACATGCCTACATTTATTTGTGCCAAGGCAGGAAAATTCCTATACCTTCCAAAATTTCTCTTTCCAAATTTCTTATTGACCAAGTAAATTAGATGGCAGTATCACAGCCGACATTAGCTACATTGGCTTATTTCCCACATCTCTTTTGCTCATTAGAAGAAAATGATGGAGATAGCTCAAAACATTTCTACTTTGCCACATTTTTGCAAGACTGAGGCATATTAAGAATCACATTCCCAACTGAGCATGGCCGTTCTTATTTCTTGCATATGTTATTTTTGTCACAATTCTTGCAAGTTGAACAAATAAGATTAAAGCAGTGATTTTTGCATTTTGAGAATTTCAGACAAATGAAGGACCAAATTGGAACTCTTTGTCTAGGACTTGAGCATCTTGAATCAACAGATAGT